TAAATAACTGCTGAATAAATGACTGCAGATTAAATGAATGGCTGCTGTGTCCCTATGGCTTTAGGGGCCTTCAAGGCTCTGTTGCCCTCCTGCCCCGTCACTGGCCACGTGCTCAGTGAACAAAGCCCAGGCTGATGGCACTAATCATTTCCAGCAGTTTCTGAATACTTAACAAAAGACAAGCCCCTTGCTAAACCTTGATACATATCATCTCATTAAACCTCGAAACAACCCATGAGGAGGGTGGATACAATTATGGTCCTAGTTTACAAGGGATGAGAGATTATGTGGCTTGTTAAGTTCACATGTAAGAAGTAGTAGGGGGGTTAGGATTTGAACTGAGGACATTTGAATCCAGAGTTCATGCTCTTAATCATTATACCAAGAATATAGCTTCCCGAAGGGGAGACCCAGAACCTGATCTTCATACCCAGCAGGTCACTAACTCATTTCAGAAATTCTCTGGAGTACAGGGTTTGTTAGGAGGCAGAGGGAGCAGTGCTGGGGCCTAGATATAGAGGGGATATTACAGGGAGGACTCCCAAAGCCCAACTGCTTCCCTCCCTTCCCATTTTGGGGTCCCCAGATCATAACAGGCTGGGAGGAATCCCATGCCAAGTTGTCTCCCACTAATTGGCTTAGCAAACCATGCTTATCCGGTCCAAGCTGGGGCCTGGTGAGTTCGAGATTAGGGAAATCAGGATTCATGGCTTACTGCTCTGCTGCCCACAGGGTCATAGTACACGGGGTTAGGACTCTAATTGGCTTAACAGCCCTGACTGGCTTAACAGCTCAGAGAGTCAAGGCAGTGGGGGGATGTGAAGATACAGGCCGGTGTCCAGCTCACAGCCAACTTCATGCCCCACCAAAGGGTCTGTTTGCTCTTTCAGAGATTTAGTCTGTCTCTGCATGGACACATTGCTCTGGGTTCCCCCAGTGTAGCCAGTATGTGGTGGCAGGGATAGAGCCGTGCTTGGGAGTTGGACAAAGCTGGGTTGGCACCTCACCTCTCACCCACTTCCTCAGTGGGTGACCTTGGGCAACTTACTTGACTCTCTGAACCTCACTTTCTTATCTGATAAATGCATATCTCAACAGTCACCACAGGGAAGGTTTCAGGGTAAGATGAGGTCACGCGCCTAGAACACCATCGTGGGCCTGCTGGGACATGGAAGTTGTGCAGTGAATTCCCTCCACTCCTCATTCTCTTCAGAGCCTCTTTTTATGTTTAATATAATAATAAAATCTTCTTTGTGAAAGGACATTATCAATTGTGAATAGCCAGCTCAGAGGTTACAAAGAAACACAAATGTTTTCCTTTGGTTGACAGTATTTTTAAAAATCTTAATTAGTAGTTGAAAATTAGGAGAGTTCACATAAAAATCCCAATTTCCCATTTCTCTTGAGAAATCAAAACTTGACAATACAGGGTCTACGATTTTTCACGGCATGGTCAGCTGGAGCTGGGCAGTAGCTTCCTCTTCTCTACGACACTATTTGACCCACAATGTCCCCTTGTCTGACACTCTGTGTATCTATCTTACACTTTGTGTTGCCTGCCTAGCTCCTCAAAGCATTTGAGCTTTTGATTTGGCATTGTACAAACCTGAGGAGCTGAAAAATATCTTTATAATTAAAATTATTTTATTCAGAGGGCTAGCCCGTGGCTCACTCGGGAGAGTGCGATGCTGACAACACCAAGGCCACGGGTTCGGATCCTATATAGGGATGGACGGTTAGCTCACTGGGTGAGCGTGGTGCTGACAACACCAAGACAAGGGTTGAGATCCCCTTACCAGTCATCATTTAAAGAAATTTTTTTAAAAAATTATTTTATTTAGAATTGGGGGCAAGGTATCAGGAGGTGAATGATTGGCCAGTTTCCCAGGTTTGACCCTAGAGGGCTCAGATACACATCTCCTTTTCCATTACCCCAGGCCCTGCCATTCAGAACATCTGTGGGAACATTTCATGTGGTAAGAAAACATGTTGTGACAACATTGCTTCATTTCTAGGAATGCCAGCCCTGGCTGCTTCTTTATACCTTCTCTGGATTTCCCTTCATTTAGCCAGGCCCTCAGCCATTTTAGAATCCAGAGCTTTTGGGATAAGGATCCAGAGGCTTTAGCTCTGGTAATGGACCCAGGGTCAGAGTTCCAGAAAAGGCAGTAAGTCACCAAATCTAATCTTGTTTCACATGCAGGGAAACTGAGGCCCAGAGATGGGAAGAGCCTTGCCCAAGGTCACCTAGCAAGCTTGTTACAAACCAGTAAGAAATTGTAAGTCTCTTGGCTGTGCCTACCTGTACCACCCCCTCCACCCCCGTCCAGCATTTTCCCTACAATACACACTGTTGCCCTATCCTTACCCACATAGTTCAACTCCCTGCCCTCTTTTCACATTCTTATCTCAGTGCAACAGAAGCCCTGACTTTCTATTACCCTGGAATCTTGGAACCTCAGACTCATAATTCTTTGAGCTTCAGGGATACTTTAGTGACAGAATTGCAAGGTGAATAAATTGAAGTCAGACTTTGAAGGTAGGGAGTCTTGAGTCCCAGCTCTTTCAATCCCTAGCTGTGTGACCTTGGGCAAGGATGCTCCCTCTCTGAGCCTCCATTCCCTCACCTGTCAAGTAGGAATTATAATACTAACCACAGGACAGGATTATTAGGAAGGACACAGGAGATAAAGAAGGTAAAAGGCAACAATAGGCTTGTCATGAAGTGAGTGCTTAATAAAATAATTGTTATAGAACTGTAAATTAGGGTTCTCATGCCTAAGTGGATGCCTAAGCAAAATGGTTGCGATGTGACCAAAGGGAAAGGGAGACAAATTGGAGCACATATGAGGGTACTTCAAAAAGTTTATGGAAGGGGCTGGCCCGTGGCTCACTCGGGAGAGTGCGGTGCTGATAACACCAAGGCCACGGGTTCGGATCCCATATAGGGATGGCCGGTTCGCTCACTGGTTGAGCGTGGTGCTGACAACACCAAGTCAAGGGTTAAGATCCCCTTACCGGTCATCTTTTTAAAAACAAAAACAAAAACAAAAAGTTTATGGAAAATGGAATTAAAAGATTGTATGAGTCTTTCCATAAACTCTTTGAAGTTCCCTTGTGTACCCTGCCTAAATTGTTACAGGCCCGATACTGCTAGATCCTTTCTCTTTTCAAGAGAAGCTACAACTTTAAGCTTTAAAAATACTATACAAGCCACACAAAACACCTCCATTGGCCACATTCAACCCAAGAGCCATTAGCTTGTTATTTCTGCAAAATCATTTCACACCAACTCCCTTACTTTACATAGGGGGAATAATGGAAATAGCTAGCCCTTTTATCCAAGAAACCACGGGCTCAGTGGTTCCTCAGACATTCCAGCCACTCCCCTGGGCCTCCCTACCTGTGGTCATTTTTTTGCCCTATATGAGGGAAACTCAGTTTGTGTTTAAGAAAGAAGTATTAGTTTCTTGTAAGTGATTCTGAATGGGGGGATTAGCCAGTGAGTCAAGGGGCAGCTGGCCCACTTTAGGCTGAAGGGAAAGGGGTATGAAGCTTGACTACCAAGAATAGGAAGTTACCATTTCAGAATCTAAAAATATCGTTCACCATCTGTCCACTCGGGCACAATATGATAAATGCAGATAAATTCCTGGATGTAGACATGAATATTTTTGTGTGACAAGCTAATAATAATAACCCCACCTTTTGTGGACAGAGCTCCACCTCCCTTTTCCCCCAGGGCAAGCTAAGCGGAATATACACATCATCTTGGAAGGCATAGATGGGGAAACCAAGGCAGAGAGAGATTAGACAATACAACAAGGGTGACACAGCAAGTGAGCAGCTGGGACAAACCCTGGGAGTCCTGTTTCCAACCCTCAGCCCAGAACTGAGGCTTCTGAATTAGGCAGAATGTGTTAACAAGTAGCAGAATAAATATAACAGCAAGAATCATGCTTTGTATCTCTAGGGTGACTTTTTTTCATGCTTTTCTCACATCTTTTCTAATCATGGCAATCCATTACATTCCTAAAATATGTGACAGTCAGCAGGGCCCTCACACAAACTTCTCACCTGACAATCCCAACAGGTAAGAATAAAGCAATTGTAAGCCAATGAGATAAGAAGAGTAGAGATTCTCCCTCATCTCACAGGTGAGGAAACTGGGGCTTGGAGGGAGGAGGGGTTTGCCTAAGATCACATAGTAAGCAAGTTCATTCTGTCAGTCCACAGTAGGGCCTGAGCTACTAGAGCAATTGGGATTCAAGAGGAGCCCTAGATTTAGAATTCCCCCTCTCTCCAATTAACTTAGCATAGCAGACACACTCAGTCATGGCAGAGGGAGAAGCCTGGAAGTGGGCAGCTTGAACAAAACCTCAGTTTGCCTTGCCATCCTGGGATTAAAGGGCAGCTATTGGCCATCTAATCTCAGATTCAAGATTCCAAATCCCCTTGGCCCTGTTGGAAGGGGAGGATGCTGAGAAGTCGTTAGGAAGTAGAAGGAGCCAGAGAGCTTCCCAGCTGGGGCCAGCATACCCTTTCCCAAAAAGTCCAAGAAGTTTAGGCGGGATATTCATCTAGCTGGCCCAAATTCTGTATCTCTCTAGGAGGCTGGGAATGAGCTGCAATTCTGAACTGAGGATTATTGAGAGCAGGGAAAGACTTCTGAGATCTTTCCTACACCGGCGTTCAGCACTCGACAGAGAGGAGTGGGTTGGGCTGGAGGGAGCCCTGTGGCCCTTTTCCAAGCTTCACACTTATCCCCATGAGCCCCTCGTCACTCACACACCCCTGAGATTCTCTTTCTCTTCCTTCTTGTCCCATTCCCTTTCCTCTCTATGGCCAGATCAGAGACGATGGCACTAGGGTTGGTCAGGGTTTGGGGGCAGAGATCAGGGAGGAGCTGATTGAGAAGAAATCAAAGCTGCAGTGGGGTGGGGCAGGGCGGAGGTCAGGACAGGAGCGGACTCAGCTCCCTCCACCTGAGCTTCTCCTACCTCCAGACCTGGCCGAGCTGCAGGAGGTGGATGAGGGTCTGCAGCAGCCAGACGCAAAGGCGGCAGCAGCGGCGGCGGAAGGCGCTGGCCGAGGAGGGCGCGGGCCGGGGACCCAGCTCGTGGCTGCCTTCCTTGGTCCTGAAGGCGGCGGCGCTGTCCTTGGTGCTGATGGCGGGCCCGCCGGTGCCGCTGTCCTTGGTGCTGATGGCGGGTCCCGGGGCTCCCGCAGGCTCCGTATAGTCGTAGACGAACCAGCGGAAGCTGAGCAGCTGCACGACAAGCGAGGGCAGGAGCACGAACAGCAACGTGAGGCCGAAGTAGGTGCGCTGACCCTGCAGGTAGTAGGAGGCCGCCAGCCACAGGTCCGTGGCGCCGTCGGAGAAGAACACGAGCAGCGCGCACAGAACCCAGCAGCAGTCCCGCAGCTCGTAGCGCGGCCCCGGGCCTCCCGCGCCGACCACCGCCGGGCCCCCGGCCACCTCCGCCGCC